TATTAGTTGGACCTGTTTGGACCCAAAAGAGATAATTACCAGTAAATAGTTATTATCTATATGGATCCAAATAGGTAGCAAGCTTCGTCTGATCTTGGTCACATGATAGTTTCTCCTCCGATCATTCTCATGTTCTGAATTTTCGCGAGCAAGTCTCAATTGTACTGCAGAGGCAAGAGTTAGTTTGATTATTCGTTAATAAGTTTGCCTCCTAAAAAAATGGACATCGGCTACCTTGACAGCAAACCAGAGAACAAGCGTCTCAGCCTCAGGCTCCGAAGAAGTGAGAGCAGTATCAACATGCAAAAAAATGAAGTTGAGTAGAGACTATGCGTTGGTGTGGAAAGGATAGCATACCAAAACCCAAAATGATGATCATTACGTGCCTCCATATAAACACCAAAGGATGGAAAAGATTATCTATAATATAATTGTAGTAACCTGAGACGGCCATGCTGCAGAATCGAGGGAAGAAAGAAGCGAAGTCCACCATGTATGTGACAGTATGAAGCAAGGTGTGAGCTCCGAACTCAATGTTGGAGCCAAACCACACACAGCCCTATTAGCAAAGTTGTATTATTTTTTAAGAGAAACCGACATGTTAAACTGCTGCCCTATGGATTAATAAAGGAGTAAACATGTACATATGAAACTAAACAATATACACTCTACAACATCACCACCGAAAACCGGCGCACGACGTTAGCAACGACACGACTGACCACCAATCAAAGTTGCATGCGAAACCAAAAGCCACCCTGTCCCACCAGGGGTTTTACTAAGTGATGCCTCTATGGAGGGAATGACATATGTAGACGTCGTCATCGCTAATCAGAATACCAGCACAGTTTTTCAACCAGGAAAAAAACCCTAGGTAGAGGCGAGAACAGGGGAGAGGGCACACGACAATGCCTCCAATGAGGTATACAATGCCCATAAGTGTCACCATTATAATCATCAGTGTAGCCAAGCAAGGACTTCCCTAATGCCTCTCATCCCAAACCACAAGGCCACAGAATGGTTCTAACCGAAGTGAGCCGCCACTAATGAGTTGTTGTAGCCACACCAAATGAGTAGCCTCCATGCAAAGGTTTAAGTTCTTGGTTGGATTAACTTGTCTGTCCAAATTACTCGTAGGATTTACAACACCCGAATGGATATATTAAGAGGAGTGTTTGCTTGAGTCCTGAATTGCCAACACCTTGTATGCACTCTTTGGTGAGGACTATCCATCTATGGCCTCCATCCAATAAAGAATATCCTGTGCGATCCATGAAAGGTCCTAATATGGCTAGAGGGGGGGGTGAATAGCCTATTTAAAAATCTACAAACCAACTAGAGCAATTTGATTAGTATGACAAATAGCGAAATGCAAACTTGCTCTAGCTCTACAAGGGTTGCAAGCCACCTATCCAATAATTCTAGTTGCTATGATCACTAGACACACAATTTGCTATGTTACTACTCACTAAGAGCTCTCACACTTGCCACATTAAAGAGCTCCACTAGATGAACTTAAAACAATAAAGCAAACTCTCAATTCTAGTTACACTAAAGAGCTTGCTATAACTAATTTGCAAGAATATAAATGAGTGAGTAGAGTGATTATACCGCCGTGTAGAGGAGTGAACCAATCACAAGATGAATACTAAATCAATCACCGGGAGAATACCAAATGGCAAGTGACAACCAATTTTTCCTCCGAGGTTCACGTGCTTGCCGGCACGCTAGTCCCCTGTTGTGTCGACCAACACTTGGTGGTTCGACGGCTAAGAGGTGTTGCACGAACCTCGTCCACACAATTGGACACCGCAAGAACCTACCCACAAGTGAGGTAACTCAATGACACAAGCAATCCACTAGAGTTACCTTTCGACGCTCCGCCGGGGAAAGCACAAGACCCCTCACAATCGTCACGATCGGAGCCGGAGACAATCACCAACCTCCGCTCAACGATCCTCGCTGCTCCAAGCTGTCTAGGTGGCGGCAATCACCAAGAGTAATAAGTGAATCCCACAGCGAAACATGAACACCAAGTGTCTCTAGATGCAATCACTCAAGCAATGCACTTGGATTCTCTCTCAATCTCACAAAGATGATGGATCAATGATGGAGATGAGTGGGAGGGCTTTGGCTGAGCTCACAAGATTGCTATGTCAATGCAAATGGCCAAGAGAGTGAGCTTGAGCCGGCCATGGGGCTTAAATAGAGAGCCTCCATGAATAGAGCCGTTGGGCTCCTCACTGCACTGAACACGGGGCGACCGGACGCGCCGGTCAGATCGACCGGACACTGGACCCCAGCGTCCGGTCGCACGATGTGTGCCACGTGTCCCCTGCTTCAAACGCTGATCGCCCGATCTCAACGGTCATTAGTACATTTAAGTTATGACAGGACGCGCTGCTTCAAAGTGACCGGACGTAGGACCCCAAAGTCTGGTCATTTCCCGTAAGCATCCATTCGCGAAAATCCACGACCGGACTCACCCAGCGTCCGGTCACTCGGCATCTCCTCTGTGCGCTTCCACGTCAACAGGACCGGACGCACCCCGTCAGCGTCCGGTCACTAAGTGACCCAGCGTCCAGTCGAAGACCGACGCCAGTGTCTTCACACTTCCATTGACCGGACACGCCGGTCCTACCGAGACCAGCGTCCCATCACTTACAGTGACCTCCGCTTTTTCGCATAGAGTTCCGGTGGCACCATTGGACCGTCCGCACTCTACGGGCGGACACTCCGCCGATGAAGTTTCTAACCCTTATTCAAATGTGCCAACCACTAAGTGTTTCACCTTGTGCACATGTGTTAGCATATTTTCACAAACATTTTCAAGGGTGTTAGCACTCTACTAGATCCTAAATGCATATGCAATGAGTTAAAGCATCTAGTGGCACTTTGATAACCGCATTTTGATACGAGTTTCACCCCTCTTAATAGTATGACTATCGAACCTAGATGTGATCACACTCGCTAAGTGTCTTGATCATTGAAACAAAAAGGCTCCTACCACTTATACCTTTGTCTTGAGCCTTTTGTTTTCCTTTCTTCTTTTCCAAGTCCAAGCACTTGATCATCACCATAGAATCACCATCATCATGTCATGATCTTCATTTGCTTCACCACTTGAAATAGTGCTATCTATCTCATAATTACTTTGATAAACTAGGTTAGCACTTAGGGTTTCATTAATTCACCAAAACCAAACTAGAGCTTTCAATCCATCACCTAAGATTATGGGATTGTAAATCCATATTCCTCATTCGTTTTTGATGACAATATTGGATGTGAGGTCTTAACGCTTCACGTGATAGATGCAGAGCAACGTTGAACATGGGCTAAAATTTTTCAACATCCAGCATATTCCCTCAATCTTGTTCTTCCTTCCTTTCTCCACTCCTCCTCCTTTAAGCGCTAATGGTGTTCGTGCATAATATCGGGATTAGAACCACCATCCGCGCTATGTATGCCCATTAATGTTTCCTCAAATGTACCTTTGCCAGTTTGCCTTACCCTCTCTAGTCTCTCCCACACAGTATCGGTATTGTAGACTTTCAGCCACTATAACCTTGCTTTATCTTTACCTGAGTAGCTCGAATGCTCACCTTCTTCATTATTGTAGTCGGTTAATCCTCGTGCAATTCTTGGGAGCCTTGTTGCTTAATACATGCCCTTCCTGTTACTATTACAATATTCCCAATACCGGGTGCTATATGCCATAGAATTTTTTAGGCGATCACAGGGTGTGGAGATCACTCCTAACTTTGAATGCTAAGACCTTGTTTGGCCAGGCTCTCTCTAGCTCCGGATCTAGGCTATAGTACTGGAGGAGCCATAAAACATAGCTTCTTCGGGCTCATAATCCATTTCACGAGGAGAGCGAAAAAGGGGTCATGTAAACAATGCTGCTACAATTGTTGGTGCAGTATGAGCCAGAGTCACAAGAAGCTGCGCAAACCGTCCCTAAACATGTTGCCTCTACTTCTTCCCCTCATTTAATCTTTCTACAGTATGATTGACAAATATTTGTACATTTGGTACCTACGGTCACACAAACTTGACACGTTTTTTCTTTAGAATAACTTGACACGTTTTTTAGCACTAATATCTTTTAAAATATATTTTTGTAGTCCTTCAACCTTTTGATATATCGAGCAAGTAGTTTCCAATACAACTCTTCACAAATATTCTGCATGTCTCTAAAGTCCAAACGAAAAGGTTTGAAAGTTATTAATGTTTGTAATTTTTATTTAAGGTTTGAACAAATCTATAGTTACAAGTGACATGTTTCTTTTATGGTGGGAATAAGCGAGGATTTTCCTCAAAACTGTCTCAGAAAACATTCATAAATGTTATTGTAATTTTGTTAACGAATAACATATTGTACTTAGATCTGTATCTTATAATAACTACGTGGTTAAAATATGAAATACTTGTACATTTGGTAGCCTCTATGTTTTTTATCAATAAAGCACCATGGAATTGTTCGAAGACATATTATTCACATAAGTTTTTACAATTTTTTTTAACCCCACAAAGTTTTGTTTTATGTAAAACCGTCCTCTGTGACTTGGATATAATAATATAGTACAAACACGGAGCCTGTTTTCTACAAAATAGAAACACGCGGAGTTGAACCTGTTCTCCAAACAAAAGGAGTCGTGTTGGATCCAAATCCGTCTTGACATACCGTGGGCCCATGTTGTACCATCACATCACCGGCAGCCGCGTCCGTTCGATCCGGATCCGACGAGACGTAACCGCAGCGGCAGCAGACGCCGATCCAAGGCGGAGTCGGGACGAATCGGCACCGACCCTGGGGCCACGCCTTTAAATAGCACCCCCCACCTTATATGCGACGTCGCCGCCACAAGACACGACCAGCGAGCGCCACTGCCCACAAGGCCACAAAACACGAGACCAGACTGCCACCGATCGAAACGGCATCTCTTGGTTCGAAACGCCGCCGCCGAGTGACGTCAGCGCCCTTCGCGAACGCGTGCATGGACTGCTACTCGGCGCCGATCGACACGCACAACGCCGCGGCCGAGGAAGCCGCCCTGCCGAGGAGGATGCCTTCGGCCCCGGAGGCATCCTCGTCCGGCCTCGGCCTGCAGAGGATGCGCGGCTACGTGACCCTGTCGCTGAGGACGCCCGATCAGGAGCCCGCGGCCGTGTCGCTCTCGCTCTCGCTCAACACCACGCCTCCGCCGGGTCATCTGGAGGAGGATCCCGCGACGGCGGCGGCGGCCGTGCACGAGCGCGTGCAGCCCCGCGGCGGCGAGAAGGGCATGTCCGAGGCGTACCGCGCCATCGCCGACATGGCGGCGCGGCTCGGGATCGCGGCGGGCCCGCGGGACCGCGCGGTGGAGGTGTTCCTGAGGATGGAGGAGCGCAAGGGCAAGGGGCACCACTATTACACCAAGGGCGCCGGGCGGAGCGGCGACGCGCTGTACGCGGCGTGCCTCTACGTTGCGTGCCGCCGCGCGGGCGCGCCCCGGACGTTCAAGGAGCTGGCGGCGGCGACGCGCGACGGGCCCGCGGCGAGGAAGGACATCGGCAAGCTCATCGTGCTCATCCGGAAGCGCCTCGGGGACGAGGCCGGCGGGGAGGCCATGATGGACATCGGCGTCGTGCGCGCGGCGGACTACGTGGAGCGCTTCGGCTCGCTGCTGGGAATGGGGGAGGACGAGGTGCGCGCCGTGCAGGAGGCCGCGCGGAGGATGCAAGACCAGCTCGACGTGCGCCGCAACCCGGACTCCACCGCCGCCGCCATCATCTACATGGCCATGGAGCGCCGGGCCGGCGCCGGGAGGTCCATCCGGGACGTGTCCGCGGCCACCGGCGTCGCCGAGAACACCATCAAGCAGGCGTACAGGGAGCTCTGCCCGCACGCCGACATGCTGTTCCGATGAACTAGGGCGACATTATTGGGTTTGCTTGTATATATGGTTCCTTTTGGTTATAGATGATCTGTTTCTTAATCACATTCCCCTGTTTGCTTAACCGAGACGAATTCATCTGCCATTTGGAATATATCTGTAACAAAAAAAATATTGCATCTATCTCTAGCTGTGTCTAAAGATTTGTTGTCCTTGTATTTGTTTTCTGTGCACAAAGAAAAACAACTAAGGAAAAAATTCAAATTTTCCAATTGCTAAAGTTTTCCACTGATGAAATTTAAAATGTCTTAACCCTAAAAAAATTGGCTTTCGGAGTTGATTCGAGGGAGGAAAGCCGCTACCGCTTGCCAGGGCGTTGACGAAAAGGGGCTCCACGATTGGGGATCTCGCCGTCAAGATTTGATGCCCTTGCCGCCGCCGCCGCCGGTGCGCTCCCGGTCGCTGGATGGCGGCGCGCTCGCCAGGTCGCGGGAGACGAGGGGCGGAGGGGGCGATTCAGACGGGCCGTTTTAAGTTAAGGCCCAAACCGGCTGCATTTTCTATTGGGCTTACTACTACACCTTTTTTTTTGTAAAATAGAGCCTCTGGAGCCCAAAACCAACCATCCAGAAGCTCAGCAGCATGGCTATGGTAAATTGGTGGTGTTCAACTGTTCATGATGCTTCCTGTGCATCAATTTCAGTTTCAACTATGGACAGGATAATAGTCTGTTTAAGCCCACAATAGTGCATGCGAAAAGCTCGTCACTGAGCATCTTGTCACCTTCCAGAAGGTAGTATCACTGAACTGCACGACTATCACGACTAATCAGGTAACAGTAGTAGTATATCATTTTATAGGAACCGAACTGTATGACTATCAGAACTATTGAGGCAAAAATGAGAACTACCTGATGCATGGCAAAAATGAGAACTATCGGAACTAATCGCGCAGTCCAGGCCTCGTTTAGAAAAGTTTTTGAGAACTACAATTTTTGATGCATGGAAAATGTAAAAAAAAGAACTATCGGAACTAATCTTTTGAGCCTAGTTAGTCTATGATCGAGATAAAGTCAAATACAGTACTATCTGAAATCTGCAAAAATTTGCAATCCCAGTACTATCTGAAATCTACTGCGGAGGCACTTGGTTAGGAATGGACGCCAAGTCCACTTCCAAGCGTCCTACCGTCCAAAAATCTATCATCCATCACGCTTACCTGACACGACATATCTTCTACCATCAACAAAAGGCACAGAGAGAACCGCCACTAAGAAAATGGCACTTGAACACACCCTGATACAAATAGCTTGTGTAGGCAACTAGTTATTTATCAATAATATATAAGAACATGCCCAGAAAGGCGGGCCTGGTGCAAGCGGTAGAGTCTTACCGCCTGTGACCGGAAGATCCCGGGTTCGAGTCGCGGTCTTCTCGCATTTGCAGAGTAAGGATAAGGCTCATCATCGACATTACTTCCCTGCATTCCCGCACAGAGGGAGCTCTCTCTCTGACTGGACACCCTTTATATAAGAACATGCCCATGGAACTTATATGAGATATGAAATGGAATCAAGCAAGACAAACATGGTTGCCAATAAGATATGTTGACCAAAGAACTCAAATCCAGGCTGATACGCTGCTACCTAACTTAAAGCTCTGAAACGCTAACTGTCCTGCTGCTCATCACAAATATTGTAACATCCCAATGAAAACCACTGGATAGATTGACAGGATTAAGATAGATTCCACCAAAACGTTACAGTGTTCTACAATCAGACAAGCCACATGGTTTCTTGTTTTACACAAGGAGATTCAGCAATATGATATAGTGTGTACACACACTTGAAGAACGAATAACCACAGGCATCAATCAGGTGCTGATCGAATCGTTGAAGCTAGAAAGTGCTTGGTTATACTTCAGCCTATTCTTTTAATCAAGTAATATGCACTCAGTTCAGTTGCACACCCAAAAACTATGATAGTTGCTAAAAAATTGGCTGCAGCAATAGGTAGGCACATGTAACTATATATCTACGATTGCTTCACCCCCCACCCCCCCAAAAAAAAAAAAAACACTAAGATAAAAAAGGAGCATGCCAATTGCCAATGAATCAGACATATCTGACTAGATGCCTATTGCTATTGGATATCCAAACAGGGGTAGGCAAACATGCTACATAAAACAAGATGCCTATGGGATATGCAAACCAGCTGATCAATATTAAAAAGTGGGCTAGACTGATATGCTGCCTAGCTTATATAAATGTAAGGGCTAAACTTCTACAGCTTTTCATTTCAAATCTCAAATACAACAACATTATACTAAAAACAGTGGGTACAGCGTCCACATGATTCTGAATCAATGATTGTAGGAAAGCAACCAAGACAGATTTTGTCGTTTCAGCCAATACACGACACTCCAAGCTGATATCTTTAGAGGATGAATGACAAGCAACAATCAGGTGCTGGTCAAAGTATCTTTTAATTACCTGAGCACCATAAGAGATTGTGGAGAGTTTTTAACTCTGAACTAGATTGCTAACCACTGAAAGTACTTGAATCTACTGATCTCTACCTCTTTAATCAAACAATATGTACTTATTTCAGTTGCTAAATTAACCATGACTCCATGAGATTCTATTTATTTCTCTCGCCTATTAGTCTCGCCTATCGAACTAAGAGCAATTGCAGAAGGCATCATTGTTTTGCTGACAAAATGGATCACCAATCAAGGTACAAACTTCACTTATAAAGAAGAGGCAAACATTAGTTAATTGTTCGATAGTAATCAATATTAAGTCACCTAGCAATAATCCAGGTAACATACTCATGGATCCTCAATAACAAACTCAAAGGGCGCAAAATATATTCATCTGATAATCCATTGAGATCAAGTGATCAACACATCTTTAATTACTAGCGATCTAGCCTAGCAGTCAGCATATCATTCAACAAACATCTCTACAAGCATCAAGCAGTAAGAGACATGCAAGCAATCATACATATTTCAAATTTGCAATTGAAAACAACTCCAGGAATCCACTAAACAAAGTAGCATCCCTTCTCGTCAACCACCTGAAAAGACAGAACAAATGTCGCAGGAAAATTGGTATGGCCAACAACACTTTCTGGGTTAGCATATCCACAACCTCTTGCCAGGTCAAATAGTCAATTGGAAGGTATTAACCCCAGTGATAATGACACGAGGCATAACAGTACAAACCATCCAAGTCATGATAGTTCAAAGTCTGAATTCGGTGCAACTTCAAAAGAACAGACCGGAACTCAATTGTCTCTCCCGTTTGTGTTCACAACTCTTATTAGCATGAAAACTGCTGAAAGTAAAGGTACTTGCAATATAGGTTGCTCTAATCTATTATCCAGCTGATAGTAAAGATAACCCTACGAGTCCAGTATCACTAGTACCACGACAAACGGATAACCCATTTTCATATAGGCCATAGCAGCAGATCAAAACTTCCCGCGCAACGGACCACCAGATTACCTCTTGAGGTTGAGCAAGACCACTGCGATGGCAGCCGTGGCAGCTGCTCCAGCAGCCGCGGCAGCCACCAGTACGTGAGGCACCACGCCCTCATCCTTAGGCGTCCCGGCCCTGGCAGCAACCGAATCACATTCCTCCTCCTCCCCGCCCTTGCCATCGGCAGCGGCGGAACCTTTCAGGGTCTCGATCTCCTCCTCGAGGGCGGCCTTCTCCTGGTACCCGGTCTGCAGCTGGTCCCCGAGCCCTGCGCCCCTGCGCATCTCCTCCTCATGGCTAGCCTTCTCCGCGGCGAGGAGGCCCTGGAGGCGCTCGACCTCGGCGCGGAGCGTGACGACCACGCTCTCGTTGGTGGCGGCGGCTTGCTCGGCGGCGGCGACCTCCTCGCGGGTCTGGGACACGAGGACCTCGAGGCGGCGGGACTCGGAGGACAGGAACCGGTTCTCGTGGCCCACGGCATCGAGCTTCTCCTCCAGGTCGCGCTTCGCCGCGCGGAGGGCCTCGATCTCGTCCGCCGCGTCGTGGAGCTTGGGCGTGCCGTCCCCGCCGTTGGTGGAGAACTCGAAGTCCGCGGCGGCGGCGGTGGGGGAGGCGAACGTCTCCTCGCCGTTCTCCATCGGAAACCCTCGTCCACCCTTTCTCTCTCGCGGCGGCGCGGTGGATGCGGTGCGAGGGTGGAAATGGATGCGATGCGGTGCGGGACCAGGAAAAGTTATGCGGATGTTCCAATCGGACGGCGTGGAGAAGAGGTTTCAGATCGGACGGCTGAGATTGGACGTTGGGGTGGAAAGGCGAGAGCAAAAACGGGTCGCGTTCCACCCACGCGGAAAAGAAGAAAAAGGCTCGATTCTCTGTTGGCTGCCACAGGTTCACAGCTCGCCGCGGACGCCGTCCCCGCTCTAGTGAAGGTCTGGAGTGAAGAGCCTTGCTATCTCCGCTGCGCGCGTGCAAGATGGTGAGATTGGCGCTCTGATTCCCATGTATTTTTTGGTTGCGAGGATCTGTGGACTTCTGTCTGTGTTTGAATCTTAGGGTTTAAGTCTGTTTTAGCGAGAAGATTAAGCATCTGATGTGCTGCGGTCTGCGATTCTCCTTTGTGCCTACTGGTTTTAGTTTTCTGATTTCTTAGAAAGCGCGAGGGGAACTGCGCCCAATATGTTGGCGCTTAAGACTGAACTGGCTGTTTTGAAAATATTGTGATTGTTCTGGTTTATCAAATGCAAATAGCTTAATAACGGTGAAAATTTTGGTTTAGCTACCTTTAGAGATGAGCTGTTGTGATGTTGTTTGGAGCTGCTCATGTAAGCGTGCTAAGACTGAGAGTACTTTTGATGCTCATACTGATATGTTTCATGGCGTGTATTTGCACATGTACATCCAAAAGAACAAGAAAATATGTTCATATCTGATATCATTTTGTTAGAGTTGGAGGGTTCGTTTCCATCTCTTCTGCCATGTTTTGTGTGCCTTCATATCTGATATCAGCAATTCAGCATGTCTTCCTTTACCTTTGAAAGATTACTTCTCTGATATTTTGTTATAGCTTCCCTGTCATTTCGACTTGCAATCAATCACCCAACTGCATAAGAACTTTAGGAGTTGTTGAAATAAATCAGTATTGGTTAACTTGTTTTTTTTTCTGGCTTAAGTCTTTTCATGTTTCTGTTTAACTTGGTCTTTTAGGAAAAAGAAAATATCTTAAATTCAATGGAATTTAGGATGCTCAGACGTATTGATTGGCTTTAGATATGGCACAAGCAGGAACAGTTTGCTTTATCCAGTATCCTCAGCCATATGCTTTTGTTGCATTTCTTCTGATGGAATTATACAATTTTGTTTGCCAGGCTGACCCAGAGTTGGAAGCTATCAGGCAGAGGAGGATGCAAGAACTAATGGCACAGCGTGGTGGGGTAAGATACCAAACTCCATGACATAACTTGAAGCTGTCACATGTAGATCTCCCTGCTAACGCAAGTGCTTGTTTGGGTGCTCCTTAGTTTACTGACTTTTGATCTAATGTTAACTTTTAACTAGGCAAATCAGCAGAATGCGGGCCAACAAAAAGCTCAGGAAGATGCGAAACAGTATGGTCCATTCCTCCACCATCTTCTCATGCTATAGCTCATCATTTCAAGCTATGTTCTGTGGAATCTGGGGAATACTGAATTGTCTTTGTATCTAAATCTCCATCAGGGAAGCTGAGGAGCGCCGACAGATGATGCTTGCTCAGATATTATCTTCTGAAGCCAGAGAAAGGCGTAAGTTCTTGTTGTCAAAGATATGTATATATGTGCTTAATGCATTTTTTTAAATCATTTACATTCAAATGGCTAAAGGGCAAGCCTGGTGCAGTGGTGAGAGCTGTCTCACTGAGTCACCAGGTCATGGGTTCGAAGCAGCCTCTCTGCAGATTTTGCGGGGGGAAGGCTTGCCTCGGTTTTTCCCTTCCCCAGACCCCACTCATGTGGGAGCCTCCGGCACTGGGTCTGCCCCTTTTATTTACATTCAAATGGCTGATGAATCTTTTAGCGAGTTGTTTCCTCCATTGCATGGAAACTATTATGTGTTTTTAGGGAGCTCTGCAAGTCTACCTGCAAAAGTTGGATGAAATACTTTACAAAATTTCTTTTGCTAGGCAATTATTGGAGTCTGTTAATTTCTCTCTTCTGAATTTTAGTTTCTGTCCTTTGGTAGTGGAAGGTTTAGAGTGAGTTCAGCAGCGATATGTGGTTAGGGTCCCTGCCCAATTCTGTGTTACTTAAATCATGCTGTCATGGTTTCCAGTCTAAGCAAAGTCACTTAGATTGTAATTGTGCTGCTACAATGTAAACTGTTGTTCCCTGTGAATGCTGTTATTTGCTTTTTATAAAGCAGGGCCAGAAGCCTTTGGTGTGAAACTGTTATGTGTTTCAGCAGTTTTGTGCTGACCCAATGGGTGTATATATTCCTGAAAAGAACAGGACAGTTGATCTGTCCACATAGTTACAGTTGGAGATCACCAGTACTCTCTCATGAACCATTGCATAATTTTCCTCATCATATATAGATATTGCAACAAATAAGAAAAAAAATGCATATTGGGAATATAAGCTAGGTGTTGAGCATGGAATTTTATTGATGATGTTTGCCATTTCAAACAATTTACTCTTTCTGATTCATTAGAAAAGATGGCTGATATGGCTCTCTTTAGTAAAATCTTCTATGCTATTTATGTTTGTGTGACTAGCAATGTGGTCTAAGATGATAATGTCTCTAATCTAGAGCAACCGGCACAAATACTAGAAGGGCTACACTGATCAAAATACTTCATATAAACATTTAAAGTAATTGTATCTGGGTGACATCAATATATGAATAAAATGAAAAATACTAAGCATGTTGAAGTTCAATTTGTTTGTTGATGTTTGGTTGTAGTTGATCATGACATATTTTGCTTGAATGAATAATTTAGGTTTCTGCATAGGGTTAGAATAGCTATTGTTGTTCCAGAAGTAGATGCCTGTTACTGTTAGAAATAAATGTTCTGAATAGCAGATATGTTTGTAAATCTGCTAAGTAAAGTGTAAACAGTCGAGGTGGAGGAAGGAAGTGTAATACAATGCTTATTTTTGCATGAATTTGACAGTCTCCCGCATAGCTTTGGTCAAACCTGACAAAGCAAGAGGGGTGGAGGATGTTCTGCTGAGAGCTGCTCAAACTGGTGGAATATCTGAAAAGGTAATAGTTAAGCACAGATTCCTTTGTCCCTTTGTCTACCTTTTGGTGCTTCAAGAAGTCAATAGAGCAACCATATAAAAATTGCTGTTTTTTTTTACAGGTGTCTGAAGAAAGGCTTATCTCCCTTCTGGAGCAAATTAACACCCAGACAAGCAAACAAACCAAAGTCACGGTATGTAAAGCATGGTGGATTTTATCAAAAATTTGAACACTATTCTTGCTTTACTTATATTGAACAAAGCTACTGTGCCTCCAACAGTGGGTATGACTTCTATAGAACTATAGAAGCTGACTTAGTTTTCAGCAGAAAGATGCAAGAGTAGAACCCCAGAGATTCCTATTGTCAGAACAAGTTAGCAGTCATGTTAACTCTTGTTTGCCTTACAGATTCAGAGGCGCCGAAGTGTCCTTGACGACGATGATTAGATGCGACCTGCGAAGCTTTGCTTCAGAGTGTATGGTGGGCTGGTGATTGATTAAAACTGTTTGCTTAAAGACAATGATCTGATGCGACTATCAGCAGCCATCAAAACTTGGTACTTGGTAGACTATTTCATGGATAATCGGTTGTATTTATTGGGTGTACCCCACTGAAGACAGTCGATATTATTGGCTGTGTTTATCCCTGAAACACTGTTCTTCCTTGAATTATGGCATTTATTGATGGGTGTTTGTCTCCATTCCGACCCTGTCAACCCGGACCCGGCCTCATTTTATTTGTCTGGTCGAGTTCAGTTCTAGTATGTGATTTGTTTTGCAACTTTGGTTGCATTGCTTGAGACTTTGGTTCGAGGACCAAGTTGGATGGGATACGATGATCCATGGATATTGGAATAAGGATATTCATAACGCACGTTTGGTTGGATGGATGGGATAAGTCATTTTTTTGTTTGTTTGGATGGATGAAAGTGGATGGGATGAGAATAGTTGATTAATTATATCTGTTATTTAAAAATAATAACAACTAATTAGACACTAATAAATATGCACTAATACTATTTTTGTCATGATAACCACTAATTTAAAAAATATATATTAATTAGCACCACTAAATATCCTAATTAGCACACGAAACATGCACTAATCTAACGTATTAGCACTTTATCAAAACTAATCCTACCATCATAATTATTAAGTATTAAAATAACATACTAATAATCCTTAATTTATTTACTAATGTCAAATATTATAAGACATGGATAAAGCTGGTTCGTCAGATTTTTTCGGACCACGAAGTCCAACATCTGGATGAAATATTCCCTATCCATGGATTTTTCTTATCCCAGTGATCCACCAACCAAACACACCTCATCTATGGATTGTCCGATCCCATCCAATGCAATCCAAGCAACTAAACACATCCTAAATGACATGTCATGTATAGGTGCTGGGGATCCATCATCCATGCAGTTTCGAATCATTTCGAACTGTTCCAAGCAGAAACGTTTCACTGGTCTTTTGTTTGGCTCTAATTCCAGAGATTCTCCTCAGAGTCGGAAACGGTTCCGGGTGCCAAATGCACCCTTAGACGGCCCCGCGTGTCAGCTTTGGCTTAAACCTGAACTAGAGCTAGCACTGATCATGTAAGCACTTTCTCTCTCTACCTCAAATGAAGTAGAAGTCTCATTTTCTCTCTCCACCCCAAATGAAGTAGAAGTTGGTCAAGGCAGTTTTTGTCTTTGTTAGCTTTGATTTCTAATGACACTATAGCAATAAGCTAAAGCCTCAGAATTAGGTGACGCAATTGGGTAGAATTTTTTTTTTGGCTCGCCGGTCCTGGTCTAACGGCGCGCGATGGTACCCGCCCGCTACGTTGGCAAGGGAGTCTTTCCCCGTATTCCCTGGCATCGTGCCAGCTGCATCAAGATTCATGCGGCAGCAGTGCAGCACTACTGCACGGCCGCGGCGTGTACCGACTACCGAGCGCTATCCTCTGCCACCGGATGGGCACGCAAGCGCGCTTCCTGACGAGAACGAGACCATGCACGCCACCCTGCTGCAGGCTGCAGGCACATGCATCCCAACGAGAGCAGCTAGCGTCCGGCCGTCCGGCCGCCTGCCCCCACGGCTCCATCCACACGGGGACGACGGACGAGGGCACGGAGCCAATCCCCGGCCGCGCGCGTCGCTCGAAGCGCACGCCGCATGCGCCCAGGCCCCAGCGCCCATGCCGCGCCGCCCGCCCGCGGGCCACGCCACGGGAACGGGAACGGGAACCGGCAAGGCCTGCGGCGTGGCGCCCCCACACCCGCGCGCGCATGCTCATCGCAGCAGCTCTCACCCGTCCCCATCGCATATTTGCAATGCAACAGAAACCATAGATAGCCTCAAATAGCTTTAGAATCATCACCGTTGCTAATTAACCAGTTACCAATTACTGGTAGACGAAAAATATTTATGCATGTATACAGCTCCCGGACCGTACGGCTTCATTCCCTCCCTGCTTGCTTTGCTTGCTGCTTCAGTGACCATGGCATCCTTGTCCGTCCACCTCCACCGCCAAGCATCCACCTCCACCTCCACGACGCGCACTGACTTGAACTCACATGGAGCCCGAGTCTCGCGGCGCCTGGCCATGGTGGACGCCTTGGATTGGACTAATACATCAGTGGGCAGTGGCCACCATGGAGTTGCGACGGCCTGGAATTTGCATGACCAAACCAAGGCGGTCAAAATCGCAGGTTCTTAATCAAATCGGAAGACACAAGATCATAAATACAAAAAATCGTAGAGTAAGCTCCTTAGGAATTCATGCTATATTCGGAGCTTAAAATAGTGCTGGTCAAATCACAGCCAAGTGGAGTGGCAGAGAGAGCCACGTTAGTACCACTGCACTAGCGCCTTTGCCCTTTGCAACGATATGATATGATTGCAGATATTATTGATTGCACGGCAAAGGACGAAACAGGAAGGTCCATATACAGGACGTGCAGATCGTGTAACAGGGGAAAAGGCGAAGGCAATTGGTTCGGTTGCCATCAAGGCCCAAATTGGCCCACACAAATCTTGGCACACATGACACAACTGAGCGGATTTATGGGCACACTGTACGGCAGCAAGGCATCAATGCAACACACGCCGAGCACGGCAGCAGAGACCAATGCATGCTCATGCTCTACTAGACCAGAGCACAGTACTGCTCTTGTGCAATAAGACAAGTTAGGGGGTGTTTGATCTGATGACTAAAATTTAGGAGATGTCACGTGAGAGTGTTGCATGGGGTGTTTGAATACTAATAAAAAAATAAATTACAGAATCCGTCGGTACTCCACGAGACGAATTTATTAAGCCTAATTAATCCGTCATTAGCACATGTTTACTGTAACACCACATTGTCAAATCATGGACTGGTTAGGTTTAAAAGATTCGTCTCGCAAATTAGTCGCAAGTTGTGCAATTATTTTTGTAATTAGTTTATATTTAATACTCCATGTATGTGTCAAACATCCGATGAGACAGCGACTAAAGTTTAGGAGGAGAAACCAAACACCCCTTACTAGAAAAAGATTCACAAATTAATGCAGTGCGCATGTCTTCTGTAATCCTACGTCCTGTTCGGCTGGCTGAAAAAATGACGGATGTTGATGCTGATGCTAATTTGTTATGAGAAAAAAACATTGTTATTTCACTGAAACGTTACGGCTGATAAGTTCGAGCGAACAAGGCCACATGATGTTCTATATCATGCACAAGGCTCGTAGATGAAATTAAACGGCCAAGTGCACAACCACATCTCTTTGAAGATTAAAGCCCTAGCTAGCATCCAAATAAAAACACTAGTAAACTGAACTCAAAGTATTTCCGACATACTAACACAACAGTATTATGTGCTTAACTACTTCCTTAATTATTGCATGCATTTTAAAAAAACGCTAAGTCAATAGTTTGCACTCAATGACTCAACTTTTCCCTTTGTGAAAAAACAGGTGTACAAGTGCTAGCCAAAGGTTTCAGAAACCAAGAATCATCAACATCTACTCTAGCCATGGAAGCATCTCCAACCTTGTTTTTTTATTATATAAGATGCGTCCGCTACTTGTGAATGTTTGGAACAGTGGAGGAAACAAATCTAACCCTAGCACATTCAGCATTACTATCACCCAAAAAAAATGATGCAACTGATTCTACATGCGCATTCAAACCTTTAGTTTGCTCTAAAGAACTCAAACAAATCATAGCTCCATACATATCCTTCCCTCTTGCCCCTTTTTCTTCCTTCACACAATGCTGAAAAGTAAACGAATATTTGTAACAGCATAACAGAAGCAGGACGAGCAAGTAACTGACCTGCTGCTCATCCTGGTCTCCCCGAGTCCAGGGATGTCCGGGGGCAGCTCGGTGGCCTCGCCCCTCTTGTCCACCATCGCCATTGCTGTCGTCTCTCCTTGCAGCCGAGCCGCCCTGGGCTTCCAAAGGAGCAACGAAAGAGGAAGCAGGCTCGGAGAAGAAGCCGCGGAGGAGAAATGGAGGAAGCTGTGAGGAGCGAGGAGGAGGAGGAGAGAAGGAGAGGAGCGGAGGCTGTGTCTGTGTGTCTCTGGGTGTACCGCTGCACTGGTAGATCTGTACGCAAAGGAAAGGAGCCAAAGGAACGGAAGGGGGGCAATGGCTGTCAGCTATTATTTCTGCTTTTTTCTCCGGCCTGCACAGTACTGCTTTGTATTTATGCTTGCTTGGTACCACGGCACACCGCTAGAAGCTCAGCTCAGCGCGCGCTCTCTCTCTCTCCTCTGTCTGGAACTGCAAGTGTTCTCTTGACTAGCTGAACTGAATTTGAGCCAACTGTCAGTCTTATCAAGCGGATGCGACTGCAAAGCACACCATCGTGGCACATCAGCAGACGGAGGAAGACCGCGGTGGGCCCCACTCATCGTGGCATGGGGGACCACCTGCCAGGGATAAGAGAATCTTCGTTCGCTGCCCTGAGCTGAGAGCCTCTGAACTGAAATGTTCTCGGTTCAAGATTGTTTAGCGTTGCTGATTGCATTGCCGCTGCTGCTTAGCTCGCTCTCTGCTTGTGCTTGCGCTCTGTTCGATGGCCTGATGCCCTGATGGTCACGACCGTCCCTGGCTGTGCACCATTGGCTTGCATGCATGGTTCGCACTATTGGCTTAGCTTATAAGCCGTATTTTTTTCAGCCAACGAACAGTATTTTTCTCTCACCACAAATCAACCAAGCTTGTCATGTCAAGCGAACGGGGCCACGTAGTCTTAGCGAAAGAAGCTCCTCTTTCCAGTTTGTTTGCCTGTGCCCTGTCTTTGAACTTGGAGCATGCGCGCATGCACGGTGTCTGTCTCTCTGCGCTTGCGCTGTGCTGTGTGTGATGACTGATGACCGAGCAGCACACAGGCACAGTCAGAGTCAGAGATGGCTTTGCTTGGCTCTGTCTCCTCTGCCTGCCTGCCGGCAGCTGCTTGCTTTAATCGT